CCCCCCACCCACCCCAGGGGGGGGTCTCGCTGTGGGTCACACCCTGGTCCCGCTGGGGGTCCCTCCGTGCCCCACTTGGGGGTCAGTCTGTGCCCCACTTGGGGGTCTCTCCATGCCCAACTTCGGGGTCTCTCCGTGCCCCATTTGGGGTCTCTCCGTGCCCAACTTGGGGGTCAGTCTGTGCCCCATTTTGGGGTCTCTCCGTGCCCCACTCGGGGGTCTCTCCGTGTCCTACTTGTGGGTCAATCCACGCCCCACTTTGGGGTCTTCGGGGTCCCGCCGTGGGTCGCTCGGTGCCCCACTTGTGGGTCCCAACACGTCGCACTTGGGGGTCGCTCCGTGCCCCACTTGTGGGTCTGTGCTCCACTTAGGGGTCCGTGCCCAACTTAGGGGTCAGTCCGTGCCCCACGGGGGGGTCCGTGCCCAACTTAGGGGTCAGTCTGTGCCCCACACGTGGGTCTGTGCCCCGTTTAGGGCTCAGTCCGTGCCCCACTTGTGGGTCAGTCCATGCCACACTTATGGTTCCGTGCCCCACTTGGGGGTCAGTCCGTGCCCCCTTTGTGGGTCTGTGCCCCACTTAGGGCTCCGTGCCCCACTTAGGGGTCAGTCCGTGCCCCCTTTGTGGGTCTGTGCCCCTTTTGTGGGTCTGTGCCCCACTCAGGGCTCTGTGCCCCACTGAGAGCTCAGTCCATGCCCCACTTAGGGGTCAGTCTGTGCCCCACTGGTGGGTCTGTGCCCCATTTAGGGCTCAGTCCATGCCCCATTTGTGGGTCTGTGCCCCACTGAGGGCTCAGTCCGTGCCCCACTGATGGGTCTGTGCCCCCTTTAGGGCTCAGTCCCCCACTTAGGGGTCACCCCCTGCCCCACCCGTGGGTCCGTGCCCCCCCTGGGGGTCCCCATGGGGCCGCCAGGCCGTGGGGTCACTGTGGGGCTCTGTGGGGCTCCGAGGGTCCCCGGGGGTCACCGTGGGGGTCTGTGGGTCCCCGGGGGTCACCATGAGGGTCTGTGGGTCGCCGTGGGTCACCGTGGGGGTCTGTAGGTCGCCGTGGGTCACCCTGGGGGGTCGTGGGGTGCCGTGGGTCGCTGTGGGGCTCCATGGGGTGCTGTGGGTCACCGTGGGGCGTTGTGGGGTGCTGTGGGTCACCCTGGGGGGTTGTGGGGTGCCGTGGGTCTCCATAGGGGTCGGTGGGGTGCCGTGGGTCACCGTGGGGTGCTATGGGGTGCCGTGGGTCTCCATAGGGGTCTGTGGGGTGCCGTGGGTCGCTGTGGGGCTCCGAGGACCCCCAGGGCTCTCCGTGGGGTTCTGTGGCTCCCCATGGGCCCCCGTGGGGATCCGTGGGTCCCTGTGGGTCTCCGTGGGGCTCTGTGGGTCCCCGTGGGTCTCCGTGGGTCTCTGTGGGTCCCCATGTGTCCCCGTGGGGTTCCGTGGGTCTGAGCTCAGCGGTCAGTGCGTCGAAGGCTCGGAGCATGGCCCCACGGACGCGCTCGGTCAGCGCGGGGACATCGGCCGGGCCCAGGCCCCGAGTGGGCAGAGGGGGCAGAACCTCGATCACGCACCGACCTGGGGGGAGGGCGGGTTGGGGGGTGACCCACGGCCCACCCGGGACCCCACGGCTGACCCACAACTCACTCAGGACCACCCACAACCCACAGCCCACCTGGGATCACCCACAACCCACCCGGGACCCCATAAATGCCCCATAACCCACCCGGGACCACCCCAGCCCCACAACCCACCCAGGACCCCACGGCTGCCCCACAGCCCACTCGGGACCCCACGGCTGCCCCACAACCCACCTGGGACCCCACGGCTGCCCCATAACCTGCCTGGGACCATCCACAACCCACCCGGGACCACCCCAGCCTCACAGCCCACCTGGGACCCCACGGCTGACCCACAGCCCGCCCGGGACCCCATAAATGCCCCATAACCCACCCGGGATCACCCACAACCCACCCAGGACCCCACGGCTGACCCATGGCCCACCCAGGACCAGCCCAGCCCCACAACCCACCTGGGATCACCCACAACCCACCCAGGACCACCCCAGCCCCACAACCCAC